CCAGGAATACAGCGCGTTTCGGATAGGAATGGTTCAGTTTGGCACTTCAGAATTCAGACTGACGCCTCACATTGATAATCTGGAGGTGGCCAACAGTTTTGCTGTCACCAATTGCTGTAAGTAGAAAAGTATTTCATACGTTTTGCTCGGAGAAAAAACAAAAGGTTTCCATACGATCCACGTTCTGTCAACAATGGTAGCTAAGGATAAAGGCGAATGGAGGAGGAGAAGAAAAGTTGTTTTATTTTTCTTATCACATTTAGAGATCAGCTGCAAAAATATCGATTCTATACAGCTGTTCATCCCACAGTCCTAACGATCTTTCTCTAAAGTGGGTGAAGAAGTGACGGATAATTATATGTGGCTTCAATTACCATCAAGGTGTCAGGTTTATGATCACTGATTCACGGCTTTAAACAAAACCAAACAAACAGAAACCAAAGAACATGGACATTTCAATTATGAGTATGTGAAATATGTTATATTTAAGACAGGGAAAATCATCTATCAGTCGGTTCTTGGTCCACCTCAGAAGCACACCGAGGCTTCACCACTAGTACAGGGGATTATAAGGATTAATACAATGATGTGCAAATAGAGTCCAAAGTCCCTAATGATTGACAGCTCCTGCACAGACCAAGACTGCATGTGTTCCATCCAATTCCGTCACTTCTTATATCATTTCTTTTTCCACTGTCTGTACTTTTTTTTTACCCTTTCTGACCATGTTGCTGACTGTTGACTCCTGAAACATAAATAAACAAATAAATGAAAACTGCCACCACGGGAGGCAGCCAGCAGCTTTCAGGGGTCGCTATTTTTAATAGCTCACGTCTCCCACATTTCATCAGGCGGTTGCCAGGCGACTACTCCTCTCAACAGTCCTTTTAAACATAAATCAAACGCTCCTGATTGGTCCGCGCATTTGCCCAATCGATTTCATTACCATATAAAAGCTCCCTGCTCCGACAGCAGCCTCTGTGTCAGATCACAGAAGACGCAGCCATGCTCGACATACCCATGTAACTGCACGGACTGAGGGGAATATTAAAGGCTTACACACACTCACTGAATAATTAACACATTGTGCTGTTATTATAAGGATGTTTAGAGAATAATATCTAAATGAACCTAACCTTACCCTTTCTCCCAAATTGCAATTAAAATCGAACCCAACCATGCAATAAAATTGATTTTAAATTTTTAAAATTCAATTTTCTCATCCATTATTCAGCTGCTACCTTTAAGGGTTGTCACCCTGAGTTATTTACCACCACCTTTACCCTATTTATTGTCTTCTCTGCTTTGATACCGTATATTCATACCATTACCCATTAAGTCTACAATTCTTCTTTGGGCGTCTTCCTTCCATTGCCTGGCATCTTCAGTCTCATATTCCTTTTTAAGAACATGTCTTAACCATCTCTACCTTTCTTCTCAAACCTCAAACCCTCACATCAGTAAATCATATGAAGACAGTAATGCTGCATCTTCTGTACCAAACTGAGTCAAGATTTCTTGCATTGGTGGTTTATAATGCTGACAGACTGGTTGGATGACTAACTGTGAGGCTGCTTCACCTCTTTAACACAGCGGCTGTACTTCAGGTGTTAAAGAGCAAATGAGTAAGATGTACATACACCCATCAGTCACACTGAATAAATGGAGGGATTCTCATTTGACAGCAAATTAAGTCAGAGGAAGGCAGTTCAATTTTTTATGTTATTATTTTATTTTGCACCAGTAGATGGCAGCCTGCCTTATAATCCACCTCTGCATTTGATTAAAGTGTGTGGGCCAGTCTAACATGTATTACTTGATGTTGGGGAGGGGGGGAGGGGTGTGTACCAGGATAATGAGTGTCTCGTATGCATAGTTCTAGTCATGAAGTGTCCCACTGTTTTTAGCATTATAGTGCTTTGCCCATTTTATATTATGGAGTGTGTTCTAAAAGGTCACGAGAATGTTAAATTGTATGAATCTGTGTGACACAGACCAATCTCACTCTGGTTGCACTTTTTTCACAACACAGCAGAGCACTCCATCAACACTGTGTGTCACACAAAGTGGGAGGGAAAGTGACACACTCCTCCATCAATAACAGTTGAACTGGACAGGCCTGATTTGCTGTCCGACTAGAGCAATAAATATGGAAGAACTGTGCTAAAGCACCTGAGAATACAGGTGCTCCTGAGACCCTGGGTAAAGGGATAGTGCAGCTTATAACATTACACTGCAGAGAAAATGGATATTTATGATATATGTTGTAGTTTGGACTTTGTTCATATTTTTACATGGAATCCATTTCATTGAAGCAGTGGGAGCTGGAGCCAATCCCAGGAGTTGCTCAGTGTGGGCGGTGCACACCCTGCGCCATCCATCACAGTATTCAGTTTGGTCTTTGTATACATTATTTGGACATTGAATTTGCAAATTGAATGAAAAAGGTGGTGGTTACATTATTTACAGAGTTGATGTAAATCAAATACAAAATGAAATCAGTATAAAATGTATGCATCAGGGATTAAAATATAAAGTGGTATATCCATGAAATATACATTTAACATAAGGTACAAAAAGTGACAAAGCTGATCTTAACAGAGCCTTTAACTCCATGGTTCAGTTTATAGTTTATAATACATTTAGAAATTAGTGGGACCAGATATTTTGTATTTTATTAAATACTATTGTATTGTATTCTATTATTTTATATTATGGCTTATCTACATGTAACCAAATTATCATTAAGATCAGGTAGGCACTAACACATTGCATCAACAACATTGTTATATTCCCATCATATTCCCGATGCTTCAGGGCAGAGATTTCAAATACAGTTTGTAACCAGTAGGTCAGGCAGCAGTCGTCCTTCAGTGTCAGTGACTGACTTGTCCCAGAAAAGAAAAGTCACAGAGACAAAGCACTAACACAAAATTTCAATCACATGTTTTCTATAAAAAACAAACCTAGATGTGGCGATGTAGCTTTGCTTTTTCAGCCAAGCCATCAATCAGGTAAAACAGTTGTTGTTTCTCAGCTAATGAAAGTGACTGCATGATGAAATACCATCGCTCCTAAAATGATTGCTTTCTTTCATGATTATTCATCTTTCCATTCAGCCATTTGGCCCAGAACACTTTTGTCTTTGTCAGTCCAATTCATTATTTTATGGTCAGAATGACTTTGTTCAAAATGTTTTCTCTAAAGCACCGGCGCTTTGTCGGTGCACAAGTGCAACAAATGCTTCGGTTCTTATCAGCTCTATACGTAGGTTGGCAAATGGAGCCACAGATTTCCTCTATGGAGCTTTGATCTTTATCTGATAAATTAAAAAAACCTGCCACTGTGCAGAGTTGTATCCTTGGCAGTCTGTGTTGATGTCCCCGTCCTTATCTCTTATCTAAAACCAACTACAGCCTCTGATCAAGCTATAAAAGCTTGTACAACGATGACAACATCAACAACAAGTCTGGTTTTCTGTGGCCGTAGTGGAGATGAAATCTATCAAGAGCAGTCAGTCATCAGGCAGTGAGTGGAAGACACACAGGCTAGAGCGTATGATTATAGATCAGCTGTCTCAGCCGTTTACAATACGTTGTTGAGATGATGAAGAACATCATTTCAGAACAGAGGGAGAGAGTATCTCAGCTGGTCCTTAGTCTGATGGTCATAAAGTCCTTGGTCGATGGAGTAAAAGTACTCTCAAAGTACACTTGCTGTATAACCCTGGTGGTCTCATTTTGAATCTGTTTGAATCTATCTTTGCTGTATTTTTTGTGTAGTAATGTTTGATATCTATATTACTTTAAATTAAAACAACCATTGTCCTACATGGATGATCAATTCTAACATTGTCCAATAGGAAGACACCATGGTATCTGGGGGGATCATGGTTCCTCCATATGCCATGCTAAATTGGTACATCTTCAAGTACAAGTATGAGTATTTGAATCAAGTAGCAGGCATGTATCTCTAGCGTTCCCATTTTGTTTTAAATTGGAAATCCAGACATTTAACCAATTTCAGTTGAACTAGCATTCATCAATCTGATATTAAATTAGATGAATTAAAACAATAGCAGTTATCATTCACAGAAAGGTGTGACCTTCACGTCATTATGATCATTTATCTGGTCTTAAAAGATTTCAGGGTCTGTAAAACCAACCAAAGGGTAAAAGTGTAAATGATGAAAATTAAAGCACACAGTAATTGAAGAATATTTTAGCCTGCATTTTAGCTGATGCAGATGTGTGTCACTGAGGAAAGTATGAGCTGGTGAAGCTGTGTGAGTTTCAAAGGTTCTCTGAGGACAGATATTGTCTGTCTTTGTAGTGTTGTCCTTTTTTTAACCCTTCTCCAAGGACATAATGTAGGGTTAGTCTATAAATATACAGTATATGCACTAGTGTTCGGGAAGACGTCAAGCTCCCTACATTTTATTAACCCTGTAGATTAAGTTATAAAATGCATCAAATTCTTTTTTTTTTTTTTTCATTATATTTAGTTCCACCGAAAAGATAACTCTAAGTGAAGTGCACTGCTATTTACAAGAATTTGGCTCTTTGCTTAACAAACTGAGGTCCAGGATTCAAACTAGCACTGATCTAACTGATCATGGGTCAAGAGAGTTTTTTTAAGGTAGATGAAATGCTATAGATACAATCCAAAATGTCTGGAAGAAATTAAAACACTGAAAACAAAGAAAAAAGACAGTTAGATGAAAGTTTAACTTGATCGTTGAAACAACATTGAAGGCATGCAAAATGCAATAACTGCAAACATTTATTTATTTTTTTCCACAGGTCTAAGAATGTGTATGTCTATCACACATCACAGTGTTACAGTTTATACATTTTTTAATTTTATGAAATCTGCTGTCCCACATTTCGACACCCATCAGCCCAGGACTAGCCGTGGTATTTATCCTCTGGCTTTGCCATCTTTTATTATCCCTGATGTTAATTATATATTTCTTTCAGCCAGTCTGAACTTTAATTTTCTTCTGCAAAACACTTTCCTGCAGACATTACATCATGAAATAATTCCCCTCCTTCACTTTCTTTTTTCTCCTGCCCTGTCTCCTAACCTTCGCCCACTTAATGCTCAACACTTGGAG